TAACATGGTAAACAATAGCTTTGAAAATATGTTGAATACAGTAGTCATGAAATTAAGAAAAATTGGTTGAATGTTTCGATAAAATTTCATTTTAATACTAAAAAAAATATTTTTTCTATACAAACAGCATTAAAGTATGTAGTCTTAAGTTTAATTTGCACAAAGAAAGAAGTTTATATGTGAAAAATTGTTCGCGTAATTATAAATTTACAAAAAAAAATTGGACTTCGGGTAGCCCCGCTCACATGAATGTCGGGTATCACCGCCCAATTTTATTTCGTCGATAAATGTACGGTTGCAAAGATTGTAATTTTATTGCTTCAAATTTGAATGTTATATGCATTTTTAACAACAAATATTGTTGTTATTAAATGATTGTTATTAAATGATAGAATTCACTAAAAGTATATAAATGTGTAATAAATAAAATAATTTTGTGATAAAAATGATAAATGAGGTTTATCTATTGTCAATACATTGGTCATTTTCATTTACACCTGAAAAAACAGTAACAAAAACATAATTTTTGTAACTGAGTGGGGCTACCCGACACATTTTGAAAAGAGCTGAAAAACATGTTTTTTTAAATTTCTGTTTTCTTAAGTTAAACTATTCTTTTTTTGGTTTATTCTTTTTGCATTATTCAATTAGAAGATAAAACAATAGAAACATACAAAAATATTGATTATTACTCAATATTATACAGAAATATAAGCAATACTCCTTAAGTGGACAGGGCTACCCGACTCTCCCCAATATTTAAATTTTGGGTATGGAAATCTTTTAATGTCAACTTTTATAATAATTGGCATGCTTTCTTGGCCTTTGTGATTAAAGTTCGCCATTTATATCAGTTCCTTAAGAAAAAATAATGTTTTCGCTTGTATGTCTAATTAAAGAAAGAATGGATAGCAGTTAGTTGCTCGAAATTTATGCCCCTCCCCCAAATAAAACAGTGGACAGATTTTCACACAAAGCCCAGTATGTTAAAATTCAAACACACTTAATCTTAAACAATATCAGGACAGGAAATGCCGGTCAAGAGTGAACCGGGTGATGACCCACATCTGAGGATATGTGAACAAGAAGTTTCAAACCATTTTGACCAAGAAGGTTTCCATATTTATTAGTTCTCACAAACTGAAGTATAACTAGGGAATATTTTTAAGAGTTATGGTATGATTAAATTTTTAGAGATTATTTTACAAGTAAAGAAACATATGTAAAATGGAAATAAAACAAAGAAATCACTAAGACTATCTTATTCATTGATAATTTTTGAAGAAGTGAACTAATAATTTCCCATTTTTCCTATATTCCTTGAGCAAAAGTAAGTCAGTTAAATTTTTTTTACAGTTGCTGGTTATGAAATAACGATGATTTCGATAAAATTAAATACGATTAAGTTTTAATTCAACACTGATGGAATAATAATTTTGTTACCGGAGGTAAAAAGCAATAACGAATTTAATTAAGAAAACTTACCAGCCACGAAATCTCCAAAGCCTATGGTTGACAGTGTAATGAAGCAGTAATAAAAACTGTCAACAAATGACCATTTTTCAAGCCAAACGAAGAACCCAGCTGGAATAACCAGAAATACCAACATCCAGGGTATTAGAAACTTGGCTGCCGATAAGGATTGGGCTAGTCGTGGGCGCCTGTCTTTACGAGCTCTCTGTATCCCTTTAACTAGCCTCTGACTGTAATGACCTCCTATAGCCGCTAGTAAAATGCCTGTTAATGGTATTCCAACAGTAGCGTATAGTACACAAAAGAGGCGACCACCAGTAGTGGAAGGAGCTAGGTGACCATAGCCTGAGAAAGTAAAGAATTTTAGTTTCTGAAACAGATATTAGTTTACTATATACATTTAACACTGCACAGTGGGCCAGCTTCGAAGGTTTCGTGGCCAAAATTAGTATTTCGATAAAATTTGCTTCAAAATTTGGGGGGTTTTACTTAGGGGTTTTTATGTGCAGGTAAATTGAATTCGTAGTTAGAATTTTGAAATACACTAAAAATACCCAAGAAACAAACAAAATGGCGGCTGAAATATGGCGAGCAAAAATAAAAAAATAATGTAGTACGTTTTAATAATTAAACATAGCAATGAAAATATAATAATTTTCGTAATTTTATATTAAAAATGAAAAGCAAATTATATTTTCGAAGTAATATTACAAAATAACGCGAATTAATTACAAAATATCGCGAAAACATGAAAAAAAACACGATTTTTGTTCTTCGGTATATTTAGTTCACCTTTGCAATATGGGCAAAATGGGGCAGGTTTTTTCGAAAGAAGAAACATCAAAGAAGACAACAAAAAAAGTTCAGCTAATTACCACGTGGAACTTTTTGGAACTAAGTTTCGAAAGTTATTCAAACATTGTAAAATGTCAACTGATAAGATATAAACTATAAGTTTGTCAAGAGTATTAACTAATCCAACAAATTGAAAAATTGAACTATAATTTCAGACTAATTACTCTGATGAAAATGTGACAGTAAGGTGAAATTCCTTTATATATTTCTGAAATAAAAACTTAAAAGTTAAATTTAAAAATTTTTTTTCAACATATTTTTCATTACATTGTACTCTCGTCGGTCCAAAAAGTAAATTATAATGCTTGGAATGATTATGAATACTTAATTTGGGCTATATTAAAACTGCCTACACATATTTTAGTTGAAAATTTAATTTTGAAAATTAATTAGAGCGTATGAAAAAAAATATATACGTATAAATGAGGGTTTCCGGTATTTGATCTGTGTCAAGGGTCTGCTCTCGCAAATCTAAAAGCCACTTATAACTATCTGATTTTCGTTTCTATTTCTTATTCATCGTCCAAACTGACATATAAATGTGACTGCAAAAGCAGTAAGAGCAGCACTCTAGCTCATTTGCAGAAACTTTAGCGAGAGCCTGTCGACATAATCCTTTACTAGATAAATAATGTCAGTACCCAGAGGACAAGTAACCTTACGGCAACCTTGTGTTGGAATTTTCATCTAAATGTCACGAAAATGATTGTATTAAAAACCTTTTTTCAATNTAAAAAAATACCATTTTAAACTTATAAAAATGTTTTGCTAGTTGGTGAAAATGACACGATAAATACTTTATTTTAAAAAGTTCAGTTTTAACTTTAACTATTAAGAAAAATGAAGGCATATATCGACACTTTTTTTATCTACATATTCTTTTATAAAGATAAGTTAAATTTAGAATCCTTGATTTTAAAATATGTCGTTAATAGCAATTTGTTCATACTTAATCATTAGGAAACATCAACATTAAACGCTAATTACTGAAACAAAATAATAATTAAGTTTCTTAATGACATTAGAAATTTTACAATTGTTTATAGATATTAAAATTTACGATGATATAATTTATAGATATTTAAATTGAGAGAATATAATTTTTAAAAAAAATCATAAATATTTAGAATAACTACATTAAGAAATATGTTATGAAATTAGGAGAATTTCAACTATATACTATATATTTTAGTTATATTTTTTATTTACATTTTAATTTTCCTTGACTTTATTCATTTTTTAATTCTTTTCACCTGCCTTTCTTTTTGAAGTAACGAGGCGGTTTCTATTTAGATAATGAATTTTTATAAAAGCTCTTAACGACAGAATAAACGTATTGCTGTTTTATATTATCTGTGTCATTTCGGAATCCATTCTTTACAAAGTTGTTCATTTACTTTAGGGAAAACGCGGAAAATTATATTTTTTCCTTTTGTTTTTGTATCAGAATTTTTGCAAGTTGCAATCGCGCAAACTGGCATTTCGATAATAGTTTTAAATTCTTATAAATTCTCTGCAAAAACTGAGGAAAGTCATTATAGAAAATAACAAATGTCTTAGAATATCTCGCAAAAAGAAATGATCCAATATTAGTTAGAGCTAGTAAGGCCGAACGCTCCGTTCCTGAAGTAAAAGTGCGAGCTTTGCGCCAAAGTGACGTCACTAGAGAAAATCGGAGGATTGGCGCGGCGAGAGTTACTTCAAAGGAGTGAACCAGCCTTTCTATTCTCTTTAGCCCTGGGTCTGACTTGCCTACCAGCTTGCCCGCGCAAAAGTTCATTTATAATGAATTACCTTTCAAAATTTGCTAAATGAAACAACGTTGCGAATTTACAATACAAAGAAACAGCCAAAAATATGATAGACATAATAAAATGTAATTGTTATTAATGGTATCAAATTCATGACAATTTATAATATGTGAGTATAACTAAGCAATTTAGATATATCACTTGTGGGTTCCGAAGAAAAAAAATTTGAACGTGTAAAGCTGGCAAACTAGCTATCGCAGAGAAGTTCGGCGTAGTTTTGTACTTTTCCGGAAATAGGCAGATAATTAATTTAAAATGCTATATCGGAGAGGAAGGAGGAGATGGTGAGTAATAAAATTCTTTAAAATAGTGAAATATGAGAAACTAGTAAATTTTTAAAAACCATCTAATGATTAACAAAATATGAATTTTTCTTCCTATATGGCATCTTTGATGTCTAGGTCTTAGTTTTAGGAACTTAATAGTAAGAAGTCAATGTCATTATTAGATAACAAATTTCGGCAACCTTTGTTTAAAAGAAAAAGTTTTATTTTATTCAAGCTCAGTGAACAAAGAATTGATGATGATTAAAGAAGTTACGAAAAACATTTAGCTTATGAGGGATTTTTCTTACAATAAATTATACTAGCTCATTAAGGTGATCACTAATATCGCACCCCTGCTAGAACAGTGTCATAACTCTAAAATGCAGCATTGGAGAAAAATCAACTTAAGAAATTCTTTTGTCATTATTCTGAATTAGGCACAAAACTGATACAACTGCTCTCAACTGGATAAATTGCGAGTTAGAGATATAAAATTTTTTGAACTTGATGGGACACTTAATACATATTTTTTATTGACATAATCTCAAAATTGCTGTTTTTTTATTTGTGTCACTTTTCTTGCCTGTGTGCGATATGAAATAGCAGTATATTTTAACATCATTAATTGTTGATCTTAAATGAGAATCATCACGATGCGCATTGTTTCTGCTTTTGATAGTTTTATTGTTCAAGGTGATAGCAGCAAAGGCTATGGGACTGTAAGAGTAAGTGACTGGCATTATAAGCACTCACATATTCTGATGCATTTCGAAAAGCCTTCAAAATTTTTCAGCCTGGATCCCATAGAAAATCTGTGCGATACATTGGAGCAACGGGTCAAAAGCCGAAATCATATCTATTAATTAGGAGGATTTGCGTTTTCAAATTCTCAGGGTACGACTCAATTTGAACGCGACGCAACTGCTATACACCGTCGACTTCACCGTCATCGAATCTCAGTGGTTATCAAGTTCAGAGGAGAAGTTACATGGCATTAAATGAGACTTTTTAGATTTCTATGAGGGTAACTGTTTTTTGCCCCATAATGAATGTAAATATAAGCCAAATGCATGTAAATATAATTGTCTTGTAACTTTGTGATTCAAAACCACGTAATAACTTTAAAGAGCCTTTGCAACTTTTCTATGCCATTAGTGCCGTCCTCTTGAAAATCTGCAATATCATTGTTAGTGTCCACTTCTTCAATCGACACATTGTTAAGAAAGGAGCCCACAGAATTGAAAAGCTCAAATTCCGAGATTAATGTTACAAATTGATAGATAACATTCAGATATAAACAATAAAGGATAATTGAAATTGTTAAACAAAATTAATTATGTGTTTTTGGAAATATTTGATATCATTTGGAGTTCTTTTTAACCATCCCTTTCAATGTTAGGCAAATCCAGGGTTACACAAATTAAATTAAAATATAATTTACCGTAGTAGCCTGATGATTCAAAATTTTCTATTTCAGTCGAAATTCCGTTTTCTACAGGAATCGTTTTAGGCAGAATGCATTGATTTTTTTTCCATTAAAGATGCAAGGGAGATTTATAATAATAAAATATTATAACGTAAATTCAAGAAGAAACTTAGATGTTTTTTTAATTTTTGGTTGATTGCCTGCATAAGAGAGTTTAAGAGTTCGAACCAGTTTATTATAAAGGATAAATTGTAACTTTTGTGAAACTTAAATAAGTGGTAATAGATATTACAGTTTTAAATTAAACTTTTAATAAACATAATTCCTTACCGATTGTTGTAACTACTGTGATGGCAAAAAAGAAGGAATTTTCAAAACTCCAGTTACTGTGCGTATCATTTCCTTCTTCATCAATGAGTGACTTTCGATGGGCCGCTGAGAGACGCAGCATCAGTCCTTCCATATCGGCCCGGGTGACGTTAGGGTCACCCAAGCGATTAAGTTTATCTGTCATGAAACAAGAAAAAAAAACATTAGACTCAATATTAAAAAATATTCAGGTTCATGTTAAGAATACACACGAATTTAAATTGATTTAGAGAAATCATTGATATATATATATATATATATATAATACATAAATAAAAACAAGAAAACACGAAGAAAGTTAAGAAAAACAATAAGTTTCATTTATTGCGCTTAAGCTGCAAGTAAACAGAACTCATTAGATAAGTTCAAAATGAAGAATAAAACAAAGAAAAATTATAGACATATGAAAAA